ACAGCAGTGGATCCAACTAACCTTACAGCTTTGTGGCCACTGTATTTCTCTCTCTGCCCAGCTGAACTGCAGAGGTCTCCCAGGCTTTCCCCTCGCTATTGTGAACAATGCAGTCCTCCCTCTGCTGCTGTAGAACATGAAGTCTTCCAGACCTCATTTCCTTCCACATACCTACATTTTTCCCAAAATAATCCCAGTTTCAACAACACACCATCTCATCTAACTCCTTTCTCCCTTCTCCCCTCCTGCACCCAGTCATAGCACAAACATCCTCTTCTCGGTACCCACATCACCCATCAAAAATGTAGGGTCCGGAACTACAAGCAAGGTACCTGCACTGTGGTATGTTTTTCTCAGGACAGATGGAATGACTCACAATACAGCTGGCTCTTCAGCAGAGAGCCTATTTCTTTGTGCCTGAGCTCAGCTCCATTCTCAAATTTGTGGAAAATGCCCCAATGTTTATGTGTTAGTAGAGGGACTGTGTAATGGTGAGAAGGTGGGAGCTGTCTAGTGAGCATATATGCTACACTTTTTGTTCAAAAACAAGACAACCTCCAAATCAACCATTTATGTGACTGATTTTCCAACTTTTATCTTACAGGGGAAGGAAAAAAATTATTTTGTTTTAAAAGGTTTGGGTCTATTTTTAGTGTGTTGAATGGTGGACTAACTTTTCAGATTATGGCCAACGAGCATACCAGGACCAGTGTGAGCACCCTCTGCAGGGTCTGCCTTCTCCAGGTGCTCCATCTAGGAGGCGTGTTGAAAGGAAAGGGAAATTATCAGCTTCCACTGATTTCCTTCTTAGTTTCTGGTTCTGGCATATACGTGTCTTTGATTTTTGCCAGCAGGAGGGGCAAACAGAGTACATATCTTTTGTATTAACCGACAGACAGACCATGTGTCTGCAGTCCTCTTTCCTCAAGAAATCAGATTTAAAATACCTGACTGTTCGGTATCATCTCTTCCTGTGAAACAATCCTGTCATCATTTTATTTGAGCACTTACAAATTTAGCTTAAAGATTCTCCCTCACCTCCCATGAGGTGGTGGTGGCAGGTACAAGTCCTTCCTAGCAAAATGCTTAAGTAGATTTTTAACTAAAAGCTTGCAAGTAGCATCATCGATTGCTCCACTCCTTCTCACCCTCCCCTGAGATTGGGCTGCCCAGTCCTGTTATTTCCAGTCCCGTCTGCTTTCAAGCTAAGAAGAAAGTTGTCACCTAGTTTAGGGCTTTATCCTGTGCAACTGAAATCAGCAGGTGTTTGGTCTTTGCTGGTAATGAGTCTATAAATAGGATGGTAGTTATATGCTTTGACTCCATCTATTTCCCACCTGGTGCTAAAACTTAGCATTCC